TGTTTTTGTTCATTTATTGCGAGCAACTTTCCGTGGGATCCAACTGTGACGCAAAATGATTTATTCGACATGGAATTTAGAAAACCCGCATGATGATGATTATGCATCGAGTCGGTAATTTTCTGTCGAGATTTACGACGAGTTGATTCTGAGAATCAAGGCGAGAGAATTTGCGTAGATTTTTATCTTTATTTTACCTGGTCAATGATGGTCAAGGTCGCAATATTTCTTCCCTCTTATATTCGAGGTGAATTTTAAGCACAGGATGATTCAGTGTTTAAAATGCAACCTATATAAATATGCATCATGTTGCAATGTTTATTGATTAATCACTTCTGGAGGCATAATTCTGTGTAATTACGCGTCAAATCCGAGTAATTTTGAATATACTGTAGATGCAGACAGTTGACTCAGAAGGAGACGAATTATTTAATGACCCGCTCTGTTTAAATATGGACGCAATATATTCGTCATTATTATTGGGTTCGGATTCAAGACATTTGTCAATTTTTATTATATGTAGGAAGTGAAGCCTGTTAATCAGTAGTTGAAGACAAAGTTTTCAACTTTCCCTTGTTGGCAGAGAAAAATCTAGTGATTTATGTATAAATTCGTGTAATGGAAGTAATATTGTAGTTTATAATGACCTCGAATATGAATTTTGGAGAAATTTTTTTAATATTATTTTCTGAGAAATTTAAAAAGTACAAATGTACTAATAACATGCTGAGAAAATTGTCTGTGATTTTGTATAATATTTCTTGAAAGCTTTTCCTAATTTTTTTTCATCAAATTATTCCAGTAATTTCTGTCACAGTGGGAAGAAGATAAACTTATTAAAATATTTTGAGTGAATGTTAATCAGCAGAGGAGTCTTGATAGGTAATATGAACTGAATATTCCATCAGCAACTTATTTTATTTAAAATTTATTTTGCTAGAATTCTGATAACAATTTATGAAAGCACATCAGTCACACTTACTTATTCAATAATTTTAATTCAGTCCTTTTGAAACCTGGGGATTTTTAGTTTTCTCTAATTTATGTTGACTAATGTATGTTAACTTCTAATTTATGTCTACTCCAAGGTTAACACTCTAACTTAACCGTGGAGTTAAGAGGGCCTTAGTCTTTTGTTTCTTTGAAACTAACTGTTATGTTAAGGAGCATCTTGGAGCTAATATGAGGCTAGTGTCTAATACCATTAAAAATCCTGTGATCTAAAATTACTGCAATGTACCTTTTTTCTGAGGCACCTGCAGGATCCCTTGCTGTATACAGTTCTGTCCGTTCTCTGTCTTCAACTTTTATTTATGATTTGGAGTATATAGTTCATAAATTGGAGGGAGGTTTTTATGCAGAAATCTGCTGTTGGAAAATTTAATAGTGAGCACAGATGATGGACTTAAAGGGTAAGCACTATTACAAGTGTAAGAGCAACAGTTGTTTTTTTTTTATTAAAATGTGATGATTTATTCATTTTAACAAGTTTTTAAACAATGTTTTTCCTGTATTTCATGGCATAAACATTGGAGCAAAAAATGTTTACTAGTTCTGTATGCAGTTCTGGTGTAACTGAAAAAGTTATCAAAATTTTGGGAAAGGAAAAATTTATAAAAAAAACACTTCAGCCTGGATAATAAGATATGTACAGTACATATAAAAAAGATCAAGCAATGAAAAATTGATCAAGGAAAAGTTTACAATATTATTCAAGCAAGGAAAATTCAACAACAAAAGTGCAAGCAAGGAAAAAAATGAAGCTTATCTCATTTGTTCTTTCAATAATAAGTATAAATGACTATAATCCTTATCAAAATTGATCAAAGTCAAGATAATTTAATTCCAACTCTTTACTTGTACATTTTTCGAACATACCCGCGCTCAGAAAGGTTTTCTTCGAGTCTTTTTTATTTCCGATATTATAAAGAGACACAACTGTTTTTCTGAAGAAAAAAATCTGGAAACTTTTGTCGATTTGAATCCAAAAGGAAGAATTTTCGCGGTTCTCTCTGGCCTTGGAATATTCTCGAGAAATTTCAAGGGGCTTGTGTCACGAGTTTCAGACCTCAAATAATTTCGTGACC